CACACACACACACACACACACACACACACACACACACACACACACACTATTGGCGCCCCCTATGAAGGACTCTGTGCATAGCAGATGCCTGGACTCGTGTGCCCTTGAAACTGAGAGTTGATGCACATTAAAACATTGCTGTGTATTAACATGATTACTTCCTTGATAGCGTGTTTAATCACCTGTCAAATGCATCATATTCTGAAATGTATTCAGGCTACTAAGACCTCTACTAAATCCCTCAGCTAAAGCGAAGGGTTGTAGTTTTTTTATTGTTCTTTTTCTTATTTTATTCAAAATCAATTTTGAAAATGCCGTTCTACTGCTCTGCACTTGCTCGGATGGTTTTACAGGAATAACGGAGTCGAGGCAATTCATCGGCAGACCGCGAGCTCCTCGGGGGTGTGCCTACAGTCCCCGGGCTCTATATATTGAGATGTTTTGTCCGGTGGCGTTATGTGAATTAGAGAGCACCGCAGCGGGACAGCTCTGCTTCCTCACTTTGACACCATCTCCGTGCACGCTCCCCAGACGCCGCAATGGACTCCCGTTTTCGCGCACTTTGCATGACTTTTCTCCTGGCGTCGTTCACGCGGAGGTCAGGTGCGCTCGGCCCGGTCATCAGATGCGAGCCGTGCGACGTGGGCGCGCGGCTTCTGTGCAAGCCTCTGCCCCGGGACTGCGCCGAGAGGGTCCGCGAGCCGGGCTGCGGCTGCTGCATGACTTGCGCGCAGAGCTTCGGCCAGCCGTGCGGCGTGTACTCCGGCAGATGCGGCTCCGGGCTCACGTGTCAGCATCAGCCCGGTGAGACGAGACCTCTGCAGGCGCTGCTGGAGGGACGCGGGATCTGTGCAAACGGCTCTAACAAACGCCTCTCCGTCAGACCGACTCCTCCGGTCAACGAGCTGCCAGGTAACTGTTGCGCGTGCACCTTTTTTCCCAATATGTTTTTATTCACCTCCAAGAACGGTTTTAAAAATGAGTTGCATGCAACGTGAAATCGCTGTGCAGACTTTGTGTTATTTGTTTCCCTCGTTGAATCTGCGAGCTTCTAAATGCCAAAGGAAGATGTGATGAGAAGAGAGTATGGTTGGTTTTACAAGTGTTAATCAACTCTCAGTTCCATCGCATACAATGAGAGCAGACATCCAGCTCAAAGCCACATCCACTCAGTGAGTTCCCTTCATTCATGCAAAGAGAAGCTGGAGGATGAGACGGGTTGAAGCATTAGAGGAGGAAAGATTGTTTGAGCCTATTAGTAAGAATTTGATGGTGCAAGAGAGGAGAGGTGCAACTCAATATCAGGAAGTTGTTTCCTTTTTTGTTGTTGTTTAAAGTCAGTGTGAAGACCTGAGCCTCCCTGAATCAGATTAAATGTTGATTTGAAAGGTGATAATGTAACTGTTTATCTCGGGTTCTTAAAGGAGAGGGACTGAGACTACAGCTAGTCGAGGTTTAACACTTTTGGAATCAAGTGGTGGTGGTTGTTTTGTATATTTGTGTTCGTTTTTTCCAACCGATTGAACGATGTGACACATGTCTCGATCACCGTATGAAATCCCTCCCTCAAATGGAAGATTGTGTACCGTTTTTGCGATTTAACACGTGTTGTTCTCCAACTTTAGCAGAGAATATTGAGACTTCCTACGAGGAGCGAAATTCCACCGGGTCGGGCCTCCAGACCTCGTACAGCACCCACAGGCCCACGGAACCCCCGAGACCTCCGCTTCACCCTTTTTTCCCCTCTGCCAAGTCAGAGGTCCTCTGGCGGGAGCAGCAGAAGAGAACCCAGAGCTTTAAAATGGAGGAGCTCCCGGGACCCCTCATCACAGACCAGCAAAACTTCTCTCTGGAGACCAAACAGGAGCCAGAGTATGTAAGTACCACAACCAGCTTTTTTTTTCTTCTTTTTTCCCCTCTCTTCAGAGCACACTGGAGGAATGTTTTTCTCCTCTTCCTCTGTGTTTTGGTGTTTTTCTCCCATTGCGGGTGATGAAATGTTTTTGGGTCGCGGTGCCGGTGGTTGGCAGCAGAACGGCGTGGCAGCGAGCGGGTACGACGGCCCTGCGGCTGACCTGGGTCAGGCGGTTGTTTGGCCACAAGGCGTCCGCGTGCCGGGTGTACTGGGAGCCAGCGGATGATGGATTGGCCTGTGTGAGTGCCTGTTGGGAAGCCCTGCTGCTATTTTGATCTTCTCTCTGGCCAGAGAAGTGAGCACACACACCAGTAATGGGCTTTGACTGGCTGCTTTGATTAGTGACTGGAGTACTTGGACTTGAGGACAAGCCTTTTGGCTCCCTCTTTGAGCTCGTCCAAATTTCACTTTCTTCCCCCATCCTTGTGTGAAGTGTTAAGCAGCTTTGGCAAACTCTTAAGCCGCCGCAGTTCGGTCGGATGAATTGATTTCTCGTGCGTCACCTCTTTCATATCGCTCCAGCCATTGTTTAGGTATTACGCCGGAGCAGTGTGTGACACAGCCTGAGTCAGATTTGTTAACATCCTTATCCCCCCCCCCCACACCCCCACCACCCACCCACCCCTTACAAAAACAAAGAATGCATGTCCAAACCACACTGCAAAATGAAATGTTAGCTCGTGCTAATGGCATCAGCCGCACAAGTTCGGAGCTGGAGATGTTGAAGTGTCACTGCTTATGTGTTCCCTCATCTGCAGGGTCCCTGTCGGAGAGAGATCGAGAGCATTCTCAGCAGCCTCAAGATTACAGACATTGTCAACCCCAGAGGTTTCCGCATACCAAACTGTGACAAGAAGGGCTTCTATAAGAAAAAACAGGTAAGAAAGCACATTCACAGGACCATCATTTGATATTGACTGTATACGCTGAAATACAGGTTCGTGCATTGATTTCCCGAGAGGCTACACATCATTTGAACATCTACCTGATAAACACTGTTTACAACTGTGAGAGGCCGTGAGAAGGAAACCCACATTTCCTTTTTTTACATGCTGCATTAATAAAGATCCAATGCTGTAGTCGAGTGACTCAAGCTTTCGGGCTCCTGCAGCCCAATTACAGATGTGTATAGCTGTCTTCCTCCATTCATTGGTAGTCATTAGAGCCTCATCATTGCACCACCACACCAGTGAGGTAGACCCGAGCCACTGGCTCTGGAGACAGGAGCCACAGGGGCCAAACCCCAGCGGGGTTGACGGCTGGGACGATGGCCGTTTAACGGGAACCCTCCCAGGGAGACAGACGTCAAGGTGGCCGCCGGCACCCGACGTGCTCCCCCCATAATTGCTGGACTTTTGAGAAGCGCGCACAGAAATAGAGCCGCAGCTATCCCCACGCTCACGTGGTTCAACCCACGATCGGCTTGTAATAAATGAGTGGTTCTGACGCATTCATATGGAGCCACTTAGGGCTCCCGGCGCCCCTGCATCGCCGCCGAGGCAGCCCTTCTTATAACATAGCAGTCCCTCCTGCTTAATGGAAGTGTTCGCCTCGGCCTGCAATCATCTCATAACCAGCCTCACAACGCCGGGCTCATTGTCTTTGTTTATGTAGAACGGAACTCAGCGCACCGCCGCTGAGCCCCCGAGGGGCTGAAGGGTGTGGCAGACATTTAACGTTGGTCAGTTTAATTTGGACGTTTGCATGATTTGAAGCAAGAACGTCCCTTATTACAGCTCTTAATAACAGTAAATGTCAGGACAGATGTTATGCGGGAAGCAGATGCACGTTTTTCCCCCAGTAATCTGCAAATTTAAATTTTGATTTCTGTGGTATTTTTACCATGCAATTTGTGATGCGTTCATCTCGCAACTACAGTTTTACCTCCCTCCCCGTACTTCCTATGCAACAGTGATCTGAGTCCTCTCAGTCGAACCCCGCCGACATATTGAACTACATGCGGACGCCTTCCCTCCCGATCGGCTACGACTCCTCTGTGGAGCGGCAACGCCGTTGCTTGAGCCCTCAAAAAGAATGGCTGCATGTTTTACTAGAGTGGAGGTTGACCTTTAGTCAAATTGGCAGTAAAATAACAGCCCTTGGGTAGCTCCACAGACTCTGTAAGTCATTTGTAGTACCCATAATTTGGAGCTGTGGGGTATAATCAGCAACAGATGATTCGCACTGGCCACCAGCTTCTGAAAATAGATCTTGGTTCCCAGTTGTTCACAAACGGGACTAAGCAAATATTTTACCAGGTTTCTGTTTACCTTAAAGGTCTCTCTATATGTGTGTGTAACAGGAGGTAGACCATAAAAAGCAGCTCAAAATACCACAAGGCTGCGTCGGATAACCAAGGCTGCGTCGACTCAGCACAATCTGACCATTAATGCCTCTTAACTATGGCTGTTCTACTTCATCGAGTAAAGTGGCTTCTCATAATGCTGCATATTCAACTGGATTTACACATTTAGCTGCCCCTCGCCTCCACCTCCACCTCCACCCCTCCTCTCCTTATTTCTCCCCCCTCCCTTCACCTTGTCCCTTTCTTTCACTTTCAGTGCCGGCCGTCCAAAGGCAGAAAGCGAGGCTTCTGTTGGTGCGTGGACAAATACGGCCAGCCCTTGCCAGGTTTCGATGGGAAGGAGCGAGGAGACGCCCAGCACTACAACTCTGAGAGCCAATAGCAGCGGGGCCGGCCGGGGGGAGGGAGGGAGGGAGGGTTTGTGAGAGCAAGAAGAATTATAAACAAATGGAGACACTGAGGATATTGGGAGAGAGGTCAAGATATGGCTCAGCCGATACATTGGATGTTTGCTGTTTCCATCTGTTGCCTGTGGGACCTTTTTTTTTTACAAGGCGGAGCAAGGGGAACAGAGGAAGAAGAAGAAAAAGGGCCTCTGTTTCACAGATACTGTACTTTTCTGCGATGGATGGACTCTTCATAAGCTTTTTTGTCTCTGACTCAGCCAGGACAACTTCTGAGAAGAGGATGCGATTCATCTCAGAGGCCGATTATTCAAAAAAAAACAGAGACGTTTGTCACACAACAGTGATGAGAGTGCTCTTCATTTACGCACAATTGAGTGGCATTGCACATGTGTACATGCTTGTCATAATTTGTATGCTCGTGGTTTGTTGTAAAGACGTTGTGTATGTGTGTATGAATATGTCTTTCGGAGTAAGCGTGCAGTGCCTTACTTTTCTATGAATTTCTTCTTTTTTTTCCGGTGGCTTCCTGCCCCTCAGGAAGTTGGACTGGACTGTGCAGCTCAAATACTACAGTGCGTATACTTTATTCAAATTAAAATGATTGATGCTGGATCTGAAGCCACAAGAAGAAGGACATGTCCTTCAGTCTGTACTGTGGTTGTTAATGTTTTGTTGTCACTTTGCATAAGCTGAATTTTTGGGGATAAAGGCCACAAACCGTTGTCTCTGATCTCTGTGTAGCCGGTGATCATCTCCATCACCTGGCTTGGTTTAAGTGAATAAGCTGTTTGCATGTGAAATGCAACCCTCAGACGTCTATTTTTTACTTAATAAAGGCAGTATAAAATTATCCAGCTTTTGCATTTTCATTTTTTTTTGTGTCCTCATCTTGCCCTCTCTCGCTTTGTGTATGAAACAGGAAAAACACATTCAAACACCACCCCATCGTGATTAAATAACATTTTAATGGGACGCACAGCTACAGAATTAGAAGAACACATTGTTACAATAAAACCAATAATTGGATAGCAGCATTTACAAACAATTTTGGTCCACCACACATGAGCTCTCAACAACAGACACAAAAAAAAAACAGAATTCACACAAGTGGATCATAATAAATACTTAGAATAGATGCAAGAATAGGCCGAAATAATAAAAAGGCATAGCTGAGAAGAGCCCTCAGAAATCCTCAGCTAAACCTGAGGACCTGCAGAGACTGGTAGAGGTAGACAAATGCAGACCAGCCCATCCCAAACCTCACGCTGGCCGGGATGAGCCCTGATATGTTTGTGCTTGGCCACCGTGCACATACTTGCGGCACTTTAAGTATTTCCCCCAATACCCATTGAGGAAACGCCAATGGAGATACATTCAGACAATGTCAACACGTTGGATGAATGAGCGGCTGTGTCGTTTCGTGCCGTGCACAGCTCCAGTTTTGAATGAATCAAAAAAAAAAAAAGAAAAAAGATCCTGAAGCCTCTGAAATGGGCTTGGCAGAGCTGCGGACTTGTGGTTTTGAGAAATGGAGTTATTTAGTGAGAAACACAAATGTATACAGTGTTGCCCTATTTACAATCGGGAAGAGAGAGGAGAGAGAGAAAAAACGGGCAAACATATAAAAAATCTAAAAATGACAAATGGTTAATGCTAGTGAGAATAAATAAGACTTGATACATACATCATGTAAATAATATGAGAGGAAATTTCCCTCTTCCGAAATAGGAATTTATATTTTGTGCGTTTTTTTAAGAGAAGTCAGTTCATCAGAAAGGTCGATTTACACTTTCCCTTTGTGAAACATGTCTGATTGTTACTAGATGTGCCCGTAAGTGTGTTTGTTATGAAAGTGAGTCCATCCTCTAGCGCGTGACTTCTTGATGACACTCTGAGTCACCCAGCAGGTCGCTCGAGCCCGGGAGCTTCTTCCCGTTCCAGGGAGAGACACACCAGCAGCGAGCGGGCGGTCCGACCAGAGATGACTCACACTGATGGGGGGGAAAACAAAACACATGAATAAATCATCCCGGTTAGCTTTAGGATGAATCTCTTTTTTTTTCCTTAAACAGGTCGAGCGAGTTTGTTTTTTTTCATCCTGGACTCCTCACCTGCTTGGCCTGGTAGTAGCCGCGTTTATCGCAGTTGGGGAGGTAGAACGTTGTGAACTTCTCTCCAAGTTTCTGCTGCGAGCTGGATATCGTGTCCACTGCTGCGTGCAGCTCAATGTGACAGGGGCCCTGTGCGTACCGAGAAAGAAAGACAGACAATGTGAGAACTACGCCCACATGTGAACAAATACACTATGTAGCTACTATGCAAAAAATGAATAAATACATGAATCCCAATTATCTCCACAGCTCCTCGAGAGCTCCCTCTAGTGGAAGGAAGGCAACATTCTCAGCCTCTTGAGTCTGGTTGATGTTTCTTTTCTTTTCTTTTTCTTTTGCTCACCTCTTGTGACAGCGTGTTGGCGATGGCGTTGACCTTGGTCCTGATACTCTCTTGGCCCTCCTCTTGGGGGTCCAAAGGAAGGTTGAGGCCCAACAGGTAGTGCAGAGATCCGTGGTCAGGGACAGCATCCTCTGTTTTAGGAAATAAGTTTGACTTTAATGTTGAATATATTTCTGTTTTGTGTATTTTTTCAAAATATATCTAAATAATTTTAATTATTTTTGTATTTCTTGTGTTGGTTTGAGGTCACTTTGTGGGATTTCCAGATCTTAAAAAAAACACATGAAACTCTTGAGACTACCTTGGCCCAGGTGCTCGGTGCAGACCCCCTGTCCTCTGGTCAGGGCGTGGAGCGGCCTGGCCTCGCCGGGCCTGGGAGTGCATCGGAGGCCCTCTCCGCAGTGGGCCGTGTGAACCCCACAGGACGCTCCTCTCTCCAGAGCGCAGGCCATGCAGCAGCCGCATCCGGGCTCCCGCAGCTCCTGCGCGCAGTCCGCCGGGACGGCGGGACAGGCGTTGAGCGTCTCCTCCGTACAGGCGGCGCAGCGGATGGGCTCCGGCCCCACCACCGGGGACGACCTCACCAAGACGGCCAGAGCTGCCACCGCTGCCACGAGAGTCAGCTTCTCATATAATCCGGGCATCTTCAGATAAATGCGCTCTTCTTCTTAGATTTAGCCTCTGCAATCTGCCTGGTTACTTTTCTTTCTAAACTGATTTCTCCGAACCAGCAGTATTTATACGGACGTCTGGCCTCCAGAGGAGTTAATGATTGACACGCTCGCCGCAGATATAAAATATTTTGACAAAGCAGCTTTAAACGGCGATGACCCTGCCTCACATGCGTAGTTTCCAGGTTCATCAGGTCTGCAGTCAATATTGACTTTGGAACACAAAGTGAAAACAACCCTGTTTTCGTATACGACAAAATTACAGATCTTTGTGTTTTTCCTTTTGAGGTCATGAAAACAACCACATGGATACTGCTGTTTAAAGAAATGCAACAAAGTCGTAATGGATGGCATCCACAATAAGGAATACTGGATAACTAGCTTATAGGCCAGGAGATAATGACTGGTGGTTATGAAAACTGTTGCTGACAGACTCTTATTTCGTGAAGTAATGCTGACCGATTTGTGCTTTGACACTGTTTTCACACTGAAATCCTATTTGTCCCTTTAATCTCTTTTAGTGAAGGTTCCCGTTATCAGGCAGATAAACAAGACCATTCCACTTTCAGCATTGCATAACCCCAACGTTATGGATTGCTCTGCTTTTAATCACAACATGTTTGTCTGAACAAAGATGGTTGTAACTGGTGGCAGCTTGTTAAAACCCCCTTTCGCCACTTCCTGCAGGATGTAAAAGGTTCTGACTCGTGCTCCTCTGCAGGCTGTGTTTTCCATGGTCAGTTTTGATGAGGCTCGTAATGCGTGAAAAGTAGTTTATTCCATGAAAACTAAAATGTATCCATACCACATAATGGGCTATCAAGGACTGACCCTCTGCTGGCAATAAAATACGGTCTACAATATGCGGTCAGAAAAAAATGTTGCTCCACATCCTGCTCCATCGAAGCACTAAACCCACTTAAAGGAGTCAACCCAAAATGATCCATGAGCAGGACCTTAATTATATTGTATGTTCAACATTCTAAAAACACAACATATTGAAACAAACTGTAAACACTATAGCATGGCTCTTACACTGTTTCCTTAGTGTAGTATTTGTCATAGCTGTGTGGCGATTGCCTGATACCTGGACTTACTCTGACGTACTCCACGTGACCCCGAGCTCTACGTTTTGTATTTTATTTTTGTTTTATCTGATATGAAACCCAAAAATGTGCTGAACTACAAAAAAAAAAAAAAAAAGATTCATGAACTGTTATGCTTAACCCAGGAGTGACCAATTAAGTAACAATGATTATAGAAACTCACAGATTTTGTAATAAGTGTCAAACTTTTGTTTTATTGTACTTTTACTTCACCACATGTGAGACGCAAATATTGCACTTTTTGCTACACTGCAAGTTATTAGAAGAATGATGAGCTCATTAAAAGAAAAATGTATAGGTCAAAAAACTCAACAGCGAACAGAGAGAATTACCCTCCTTTGACCAACTTATACATTAAAGTACTGCTTAATGTAAAAATAATCCTGTAATATAACATAGGCCTACTGTGCTCACAAGGGCCATTTGTCTGCATAACACCTTTGATACTGTCACTAAGGTAATCATTTTAATGCAGGATTTAAAATTCTTTTGGTATTCCTTCTTCTACTAAAGTAAAGGATCTGAATACAACCACCACCTGAAAAGAGACTTTGGAAAAACTGGAGTGCGCATTGGAGTGGTGGCATTTCTTATAGTTATCTAGGAAAAGAAACCCCTAAAGAGAGACTTGACTGACGTGCACACAGAATTGCCTTTGGTTTCTTTTTCTTTGTAGTTTCATATCATGAGACAGATAAAATCTGTGTTGCACAAGTTTTCCCGTACAGAATTTCTGACAGGAGACACACATGTCAGAAATTGACATGAAAAAAAGACATTAGAAAAAGAGTTTTGAGAGAAAAACAGTATACAAACACAACAAACAATATTATTTTGACACTGACAGGGAGTCAACACTTCCTGTTTGCCTTATTATTGTAGCTTAGCTGTTTTTTTTGTTCACTGATGACGACAAAGGAACTGTGGCTTGCGCACTTTACTCTCTGGCAGTGCACACCCTCAAAATGGCATTCTAGGCACGACGAGTTTGTTCTACGTTGCAGAGGCCGGACTGGTGGACGCCCCCCCCACATGTTTCACCTCGGGGACGCCTGCAAAGAGTGTTGCTACTCCACCACCAGTTGGTGAGTTGTTGCCTCTTCAATGTTGACCATCAGGTTCACCAGCCACCGAGGGAACGGCTTCTCCTTGGAAATATTTTTGAGGACATTGGTGAACCAAAAAACTCACGTCGTAATTTGTATTTTTAAAGTTAAAGCATCTTTGCTTGAAGTGAGCACTCACAGCCAGAGACTCCTTCTTCTTCGCTTTACTGTTTCTCTTCTTCTGCACTGGCGGTTCAGCTGTTGTATTTTTTTTCCATTTGGAGACCTTAAAAAAAGAACAAAAAAAACATCTGTTTTTCATTTGAGTTGCCTGATAATTCATTTGAATCGAGCCCCTAGAAAAACAAACTCACCTTTATTTTCAGTTTACCACTAATGGACCTCTTCTCATTTCCCAACCTTGTCTGCTGAGGCGGGGTAGATTCCTCACTTAAACCCACCGTATGAGTGTTCTGATCTGACTCAGAGAACTCGTCCGTTTCCTCACGATTATCGTCGGTGGATTGGATACTATGAAAACTCTCTTGGCTGAGGGAACGAGACATTCGTCGAGGTCTCAGAACCCTCAGCGGAGCATCTTCATCGTCCTCTCTCTCATCTTCTGCCATCACCTCCATTGTCTCCTCCTCCTCCTCCTCCTCTCCTTCTCCAGTATCGCTTCCTTTTATTTCATCTTCCCTCTCTGACTCTTCCTGTATGGGCTCCAGACGTGGCCTCTGTTCCCCCATTTCGTTTTTTCTTATTCTTAAAGTACAGGGAAGAATTAATGTAAAAGGTCCATTTAGTGATGAATTTTTGGATTAAAAAAAAATCATTTCACATGTTAAGAGTAGATACAGGGGAAACTTATATGTTGCTGCTGAATGTCTATGTAGCTGGATGACTTGGCTCTTCTGATATTTAAGGCTCCTGCAGTTTCAGGCTGTCGTTAGTTGATTATTGAAATCAGGTGTGGAAGCTTGATTACAGACAGGTGGGCGTGGATGTCCTTTTAGACACAGGAACCAAAGGTTGTATAAAATCAAATATGTGTGTTGCAATACATATCTATTTGAAACCATATATACCATACTGTGTATATATATATATATATATATTTCTGCACCCCACAAAGTGGGGCATTAACTTGTGAAGTCCACACATGCATGCTTACGCACACCAAAAAAGAAACAACGCCATTTCACGTGGTAAATACTGCAATGTACACATTTGAAATGGTAACTATTTTAAAGACACGGTTAACGACACTTTTTTGACACAAAAAGTTCAGTATATCCGTCACAGTCTCCAGTGAAAACAGTTGTATAATGTGCTCTGTAGCTCTGGAGGGAGATACAAACAAAATAAAAAATTCCTGGAAAAAAACTATGTAATCTGGTACAAATTATTAAAAAAAATACAAATGAATGAATTAACTTGTGTGACCTAGAGAGTTTTTATTTCATCTGAAGAGGCAAACAAATTTGGAACCTTTCTCAGGCGATCATACAATTCGACATGTATGAAACTTAAAGGCACCATATGGAGTTTTTGACTACTAGTGCGATGGAGCAGTACTCAAAATGTGTGAATAAACAGTAGTATGTATCTTTTCTGACGCACCGACCACGCCACTTGGAGTGGATCCATGCCACTTCTTGAGAGCCTCCTTGGAGAAGCGTAACCAAGGTAACCCGTGCCAATCTCAAATGATGATCGTGAGAATGAGGAAGTCTGATTGAACTAATTCAAATAATATTTGATGCTATAGCAAAGCGGAATCTTGAACCTAAATTGAAGCGTGCTTGACGTGACAGAGCTGTCATGAAAGTTGTCGTCACTACAAGCATTGCATTGTGGGATATTTATGCCGCCGTAGCCTCCAGTGTTTGCATACTGTAATATTTCACATATGCAATTCGCGTACTATTGGTTTCACACTAAGGACATACTAAAAAACCTCACATTCTGTTTTAGCGTGCTAAACAGCGTGTTAGCATGGAAGTTTGGACGCAGCCATTGACATTACTACTGACCTTTACACACTATCCCATTATAAATTTACTCAACACGGCTGTAAGACAAACGAGATTTTTTGTGTGTGTGTGTTTTCTTTTTGTTTTGTTTTGGTTTAGTTGTGTGTCTCTTCGTTGTTTCCTGTTATTTATTAATTCAACTGTACACTAGCAAAAGTGTAACAAAGTGCATTGGCCTCTCACGTAAATAATTGTCTTGAAGATGACGAAAGAAACATTGCAATAAAGTAGGTAAACATGATGTGTTTTCGCAAACTGAAGGTGAATATGAGCATAACATTTGTGTGTTTACGAGAAACATCTTTTAAGTCTTCGCCAATCAGTGATTCATGAGTTAATATTAACTTGGGGGGCGACCTCTGGCTCACCTGGTACATGGTGTTCCCCCATGTATGCTGAGTCCTCGACAGCGGCCCGGGGTTTCGTTTCCAGGCTGCGGCCTATTTTTCTGTGTGTCGTCCCCTCTCTTTCTCCCTCCTTCCCTGTCATCCTTCAGCTGCTCTAATAAAGGCAAAAAAAAGCCGAAACATGATCTTTAAAAATACATTACTTGGGTTAAAACTCAGCAGTTTTTGCAAGAAAATTCCTCTGGAGTCAATAACGGCTCCGAACTAACTAAACTCAGAGCATCATCTCTATTTCCCCTAAAATGAGTTCCAAAATACAGAGTTCCTTCAAGGAGACTTCCTTTGAAATGATTATAAAATTGCATATTTATAAAATGAAGCAGTGTCAGAAAATGTCTACTGTTTTCATGCTTGTTGAAATTTTGTTATTGAAGAATATCTCAACCTCATTTACTCATCTTGACCCCTTTTAGCCCTGATGACACAAGGGGGAGTGTTATTTGTGAACCATCAGTCACCAGATTCCCTTCATTGCTTAATGTCAACTTCAGCTTGGAGTCAGGGAACCACGACGGTGACACTTTCTCGAAAGCAAAAGCAAGAACTCCTTCAGAATACATCAACGTTACAATTTTTCTCAAATTTTCAATAACTGATCAGATTTCTTTTAGTATTTCATTCCAAAGCAAAAAATAATTCCAACATCTACTGTACTGGAATTGTTTGAGCAAGCCAGGCGTGTGTTGACTTAACAGTTACACTGTGTGAACCCAAGACAAATTCTACGTCAATGCTGGGAAAACAGTTTTGAATTCCCCCCCCCGCCCCCCACATACACCCCTGCTCCGTGTGTGTGACATGGTGACACTCATCGGGCTCTGGGGTTGTGGGAGTCCACCGTTTGGCATAATAAACCATTGTGTGCTGCATTCTGCCGTGTAGAGTGACAGCTGTTATTCTTAGAGCCTTAAGGTGTGTGAAATTAAGTTTTATAGAGTGCAACTAACGAAGACTGCCTGGAAAAAGTTATATTTGTTGCCCGATGAGCGTTTGAGGTTTGGGGGGGCAAAATGTAAATAGATTGAATCCACATATGGCTCATCCTAAAGATCAACTGAAAGATCTTCATTTCCTCCCTCAACCACAATCCCATACACATACTCGTTTCATATCTTTGGCGGCCCGACTTTCATTGACATTCACAGCCGTACTCGTTTGATTATTTTATACACCAATATTGTCTTTATTACAAAATATTCAATAACCCAACTTTACACTGTACAAGATACAACATAGTTTACAGCTTTTGGCTATTTACAAAAAGTATGATCTGCATATCAAAGTGAACATATCTAAAAAGGCAGGTTGTAATCACTGTAAGCTTATTGAGTAAGGCAAAAAACTTGAAACATCACGTATTTACACGTTTTGCGGATCGAGTGAAAGTCCAACGCTGATAAAGAGGCTACAAAGATATTCGAAAGGGCCCCACTTTTCTGAGACTGTATCTGAGAGACGTGCTAAAGCTTATATTTATATATTTCTTTTGAGGAAAACTCAAAATGTGGCTTTAATATAGCGAGAGAAAAAAAAAGCTGGAGTATAGGGCGACGCATGCCTCGGAGAGAACAGCAGCCAGACACTGCACCAAAAGTTTGTCCATGTGCACGGAGCATTTGAAAGGTTTAGGCTAAAGGACTAGGTCGCGCATTTGCAGAAGTCGTGTGCATATTGTATGTGCTCTCTCTTTGTGGATGAATTCCTTCCTGGATATCTACATATATGTCTGCGCCCCACAAACTTCCAGTTAAAGTCCTCCCATGACATCTGAAAGAGCCCCGAATGCCAAATATTTTTCAACCGTCTCACTTGTGTGTTGTTACATATATGTTGAGGCGATATGAGCAGCGAAACTAGAGATCTATGGAAAGCTCAATACTTTGGTTTTCTTTCAACAGGAGTGCTATGGCTGTGTCAACTCTTTAAAAAAAGTCATGCGCTATCAACTGTAAATATGACTCGAAAAAGCCTATTTCATCCAGTGAGCTCTGAGTATAAAAGAAAGAAGTATTTTGTGCTGTTTCATTTACAATTCAGAGTTAACCACGCATGCATACACACGCTCACAAGTACACGCGCACGTGCATGCTTACGCACACCAAAAAAAGAAACAACACCGTATTACGTGGTAAATAATGCAATGTATCCTTGGCATAATCGGAGAGACAGTGCAAAAGCAATAGCGCGATCAGTCTTTGTCCGGATATCAACGCACGTATCCTCTGTACACGGATTATGCACGACATAGAAAACAAAGATGCACATTATACCTGGATCTGAAGGGGAACCCGGGAGCGCCACAAATCGAATCATCTGGTATTAGAGATGTTAAACAGAGGATTTGAGATTCTGGGCATTCTTGCCTCCCAAGAGTGGCAAGAAGTTTTAATAAAAATCCCCCCGAGTGAGTATGATTGTCCCGTATCACCATCTCATTTCTCGCTGGAAGTTCACACCCTGAATGAGCATATTCTGGGCTGTGCCAGTAGCTCAGGATTTATAGGAAACACCTGGACAGCCCTGTCTTCTCTAGGCCTCCTACCAGGCTTTTTCCTTTCCTTCTCCGCAGGGAAGTTTGTCTTTCTTCCTAAACCGCAACATCTGCAACAGCTGCAGCGGCCTCAATCTGGATCTCCGTCAGCTCGATGTCCTCCTCGCAGGTGGAGGGCAGGCACGTCGCTTGGCTGTTGCCGGCGTTCACCTGAATGTTGCTGCCCATGCTGGCGTGGGCGTTCAGGCTGGTGGCGGAGGAGACGCTGCCCAGGTTAGTCGGGACGCTGGTCTTGCCGCAGGAGTGGATCCGGCGCGCCAAGCTGGCGGAGCGCATGACCGAAGAGGTGGTCACGGTGCCCACGCACTGAACCTTGCCCTCCAGGAAGTAGGTCAGCATCTCGCCTTTACCCTTGACACTGACTTTGCCACGGCACACCAGGTCGTAGTTGGTGTTCAGCAGGCGGTAGACATCTTCGGTCACCTGGAAACATACGGAAAACACTGTTGGGTTTCAGCTGAGTTCAATCAAATGAAACAGAATAAAACGGGATGTTTACGTATTGTTATCTACTTGTCTTTAAAGTCATGATGTCTACATATAGCATGCATTGTTTTTTATTAGTTTTGTGTTTTTATGATGTATTAATTTCTGTAGTTTTGATGTTTTTTGTCCAGGTTTCCCTATTAGCATTGCGTGGAAAACAAAACCTTATAATTTAATTACTTTTAGATAAATATTGTAATCTAAGGTGCGTTGGATACCTGTATCTTTCCCGGTACTCCGGTGCTGTCCATCCTGCTGGCCACATTGACCGTGTTCCCCCAGATGTCATACTGAGGTCGCCGCGCCCCAATCACCCCCGCAACCACCGGACCCACATTGATACCTGCACGATACATAAGAACACGGTAAAGAAAATATTGCCTGAGATTTCTGATTGTGATTTACTTTGTGATCGTGCCGACGGCTTCATACAAGGGTAGACATACCCACTCTCAACACAAACTCGTTGTACGACTGGTAGTTGATTTCATCCAAAACGTCAAACATCTCTATGGCGTAGTCTGCTATCGTGCTCAGATGGTCGTAGACAGACTTCTTGGCCTGAAGAGGAGAAGTACACGGAGCGGTTAGTGTGTATGCACGAAACGATCGCACCTATTGTCTTCGTTATGGTGCACTACGTCCATTTACACAAAAAACGACACGTCACCTTGGTACCAATGGTGGGGACAAGGCCCACGGCTGCCATGTATGTACTGCCAATGGTTTTGATTTTCTCTATGTCTTTGTAGCACTCTTTATCCATGAGCTGCAATTCAAATAAGCACAAAATACAGACACCGTTCAAATCACCCGCAGGTCTGTGTTAAAAAAACAAAACAGAAAATCTGCATCCCACCTCGTCAAAGTCCGCGATGATCTCGTTCAGTAGTCTCAGGCACTCCACTCCCATGTTGTTGCCATCCAGCTCGATGTAGAAATCGTTGAAGTTCGGGATGGAGGCGAACAGGACACTGACTTGTGCGTAGGACTGATAGTAGAGATCCTAATGCAGAACGAAAGAATACAGTGTAACTGTGTCAAGCGCATCCTTTGGTGTCTTCTGATTGGTATTTTCTGTCTGTTTATCTACCTGTTGGTCTGTTTGTCTGTCTGCCTGTCTATTAGCGAGGCTCACCATGTTCCTGGGGTTCGACAACAGGAAGTGCTGAGCCACGTGAGCGGGCAGAAGATTGAAGAGAATCCTCCTGTTGTCCAGCTTGACTTTCTCCATGCCATCTCTATCCTCCTCCGCCTGACAGCAAAACGTAACACACACACACACAAACACACACACACACAAATACACAGATACAGCCGTGAGGATTGTAGCTTGTCCCACATTTTCACCACATGGGGTCAGTAACAAACCTTACAACATGGACTGTGTGGCTCATAGTTGGACGGACTTGGGTACATTACATGACTAATGCTGCTAGTTAAATGATTGGATAGCTTCAAATTCAGCTTTTGCAGTCCCACTTTGCGAAACAACCTCCTGGCGCCAAATGAAAACAAGCGTCTTACCCTTGTGTTTGCCAAAGAACAGACAGCTGGCAGCCTATAAATACAAATCCCTCCATACTCCGATAGTTTACATATATCAAGGTTGAAATGGCAGCATTTCTACGGCACACAACGTATATATATTATGACATCCACACTGATGCACACACTTCCTGACCTGCACAGCCCAAAGGAAGTCCAAGCGTAGTTTGAGGTCAAGTTGCCTGGAGTGGAGGGCCAGGGCGCTGACAAAGAGCAACAGAGACAGGATGGGCTCATAGCCCCGGATGTGGAAGGACCCCCCACTGTGGAAGAGAGACCAACGCACAAGTCAGCACCGGACTGGACCACACAGAAAACTGCACATGAGGGTTATATGGACCCCCCACAGTGTCGGGAACAAAAAGTTTTATTTTTTATTTTTATTTTCTTTTTTTACTTCAAAACAAAATCTTAAACGAATGAAAAAGTATAAATGAAAGCGATTAAATGTGCTTGAAACTTTGAACCATACAAAGAAATTATATTATATATATAAAATTAGCTTTTTTCAAAAGAGATCTTTATCTCAATAGCCTTATCAAATTCTACATGATCACTTTTCAGGGACACAGTTATGATCTGTGCTGCAATAGAATTGGCCGAGCCCCTTTCGGTACGGGGGGTGATGGGAAACAGCTAACGCGCTCCCATCATTCAGCCCACATTGTCCTTTCAGGCTTCTGATTTGGAACTAATGAGCAGATGTGCTGCTTCAAAGGGTGGAAAATGAAAGAGTGTGTGGGCTGCAGACAAGCAAAAGACTCCTCCACGCACATACATCTCAGAACATATACTGTAAATGTTCCTCCAAATTCATGGTTAGCCGTCCCTTCTGCGGATCAAACACAGAAAAAGCGTTGCTTGATGTTCACAGCCAATCGTTGCCTCGTGTGATTTCGGGAACCGACCGACATAAAATAAAAAAAGAAGTGCAAATGAGGGGTGTTGTGCGTGATTGTGCGTGCCTGGTGTTCGTGGTCATGTCATGTCGTGCCGTGAACCCCTCACCCTGCAGTCTTGCGAAAGCCGCTGAGCTCCAACACGGTGATATACAGCACCCCCAGAAGGAGCAGCAGCACCATCTTTGGCAGCCAGGAGACCCGCAGGAAAAGTGCTAAGGTGAGCGTGCCCACCACACAGGACAGGAAGGCGTAGCGGGCGCCGTCACAAGGCAGCTCCGCCATGGTGTGGTTGGCGCCGCTGTCCACATCGATGATGACGATGGAGCTGTTGGCGTTGGCACTACCCCACAACCAGGGCATGCAGCCCACCTGACCGAGACAGATACATATGGTAGTCTACTTTCATAGAAATAGTTATCATGATAGCTTTTTTGGTTTCCTAATTTACTTTACCATCATGTAAAGCACAATTGTTAGAATAATTATTAAATCTGTTACAATAAATCATCTCACAGGTGCAGTCTTGCATGTAAGCACTCCCTTTTTTTTAAACCAAAGAGGAACTACAATTACAGTGCAAGGCTTGGCAACATTTTTTTCTACTGGTTGCCCAGTATGGTGGGTGATTTTTGGTGGATTTTTCATTTGCCTTTCCCACTTACCACACAGGCCTGGGCCACAGCGTAGATTAAGAGCACTATGAGAATACAGAGAGCAGTGCGAATCTGAATGGTCAGGCACCCTGGGAAACACTGCGAGACAACAACAAAGACAAGTTAGATGAAGGCGACGGACACCATGAGGAATTGTGAATGATGTGATACATCTTTAATATTTATATTGCGGCGCCTACATATATGACACTATATATGTTAATATACGGCAAGACTACAATGGGACAAAGTGCGTTAGCAGATGTGAGAATAGTATCGAAAGAAAGACTTGCAATCAAAGAGAGGGAGAACATGAAAGTGTAAAAAAATAAATAAGGACAACTTTCAAACTGACGCGGTCAGGAGCTTTGAGGACGACCATCAACCTCAACAAAAGCTGAAATGAACAGACTAGTTTAAACACAGTACAGGGGCTTAGGAAGTAATCTGGAAGCCAATGAATACTGAATCGTTATTACGGGCCTTTGTGAAACACATTGACATGTTTCTCTTTAGTCAGCGAAAAAAGAAGAGGTACAGCAGAGAAAAATTGAAACGAGGAAACCTGACAGCTCTGTTCGTTGGGTGTGAGTAAAAGGTGACTGAGGAAAGGAAGGCGAGAAGGACGCGTTTACCTGTACTCTAGTGATATGCAGGTACATGATACAAGCGACTAGGAAACAGATGCAGAAGACGAGAAGGACAAGTACCAATGTGCCCCTGAGTGGATAAAAAAAAAAGAAAAAAAAAGGAGAGAAGAAGATGGCGGGGGGTTAGTTAAAAAGACACAGACCTGAGTAACTAAGAGGTAAATGGAGAGAGGGAAAGCAATAGAGAGAAGAAGGGACGGCGACAGATTCTGCTGTACGTACTGTGGTATGATGAGAAGATAGACAAGGCCAAACAAGGCAGCTAGGACCAGAGAGAGGACCACTGCGCTGATGAAGTGCTCATCGGGAACCTGCTGGTACTACGCGATGCCAGAGACCAGATAGAGAGTGTGTGACAAAATATAATTCGGAGGTTTTAATGCACAACAAGCATATGTGTGTGTCTGCAGTGTCTGAAGTGCCCCTTACCCTCTGCTCGTGCTCCGAGGACTTGTACATGAGCGTGAGGAAGTTGAGGTCCGCCGTGTCCGACTCGGTCTGGCGGGCCTCGATCAGGCGGCCGATGTAGCGGTTGACTCGGGTCCTGGGGCTGCTCTGGATCACATTAGTCTGGTTTGCGTTGGGACGGTTCCTCAGCTTCTGTGGAGCTGTCCGCATGGCCCTCCGCTGGTGGAGATGATAAAAAAAGAAGAAGTCTTCACTGACAATGTAGAACTTGAAAAACAACAGTGTGATAAATAGCGCCCTGTGTTCTCCACACTACTGGAGCATTATCATATAAGGAACAAGGGTGAAAGAAGGAGTCAACAATAAACACGGGCAGCTGATTATACTTTCAAATTAGGACATTGCCTTCACACTTAACTTCATTACTGAATGCACCCCGCTGTGGCTGAGTGTCTTCGGCAGCCAAAGGGAGCTGCTTTGCAAAACATTGGGCGTTGGAGCAGAGCCAGAGAGTTAACATGGCAGAGTGGATGTTTGTGAGTGTGTGTGTGTGTGTGTGTGTGTGTATACATGTAAGTGAGCATGGTGAATGAATTGTGTGGCTTGGTGGAACAGTAGGGGAGCAAAGGGTGAGCAAGGATCACCAGAGTGTTCATGAGTTCATGAGCTGACACTTCCTTGTTTTCCTCCTTTTCTTTCTGTCCTTTTCTCCGCACTTCTGTATATTCTTCCTTTCCTGCTCCGTGCAGTCTTCTATCCTTCCCTGCCTCAGTATATTCGTCCTTCCTCCCCTGCTCTATATATTCCTCCTTACTTCCTTCTTTCCTTTCTCACTTGCTTATGTTCTTCCTTACTTCCTCCTTAGCTAGCCCAATTCCATATATTCTATACCTACGTCCGTCTCTCCTTTCCCACTTCTTTGATTACAGCTATTCCTCCTTAGTTCTTCCTTTCTCTCGTATATTCTTCCTTCTTTCCTTCCTTCCCAGGCTCTGTAAATCCTTCCTTGCTCCCTCTTTCCTTGCCTGCTTCTGTGTACATATCCTCTCACGCTTCATCCCTTCTCTGCTTTGATCTATTCTACCTTTCTTCCTGCTTTTCATCCATGGTTTTGTCTATTCATGCTTACTTCCTTCTTCACATCCCTTTCACATCTCCTTCTTCCTTTCCTTACTTACATCATTCCCTGTCTCTGTTCATTCTTCCCTCCCCCCATCTAGTCTTTTTTCTTCCTTTATCTCCCTGTTTCTATCCCTTAGTTCTCTGTGCTTCCCTCATGCTCTCGTTTTGTTATTCACGAGGCAGCAGCATAGATGCCGACTTCTCCTTATATTCCATATTGCGCTCAATGTAGCACAGGACACATCATGCAGGCATGTCTGCTGCACCAAAAATCCCATTCATCCGTATTGCTCCCCTCCGTGCCTTGAATGCATATATATTTTCTCCCAATTCAAGTGTCTGTGGTCGGAATGCGAAATTAGCTTTCAGTAGTGGGTGCATGTATGACTTAACCTGTCACCACTTTTCCGTTTGTCTTTCATTTTACACTAATATGCCTTCTGTCTACGGCGCAACAGTGTTGTCATTATCAGTAATGCCGATCTAAGAGGAGACATGTAGTTCGAGGTTGAGGTTTGCTGCATGCAGCCACTGAGGGCAACATTAGAAGAGCAGGAAGATGATGCTTCGTCAAACTTTCATAGAAAATGATTAAAACACAAATCTGCGCTGCTATACTTGTTTTGACATAAATGACTTCCCTGGATGTTTGTCCTGACTGTAACATACCTCTCTGACCCTTATCTTAGTCTTAACCCCAAAACAAATGATTCCACTTGTGGAAACTATTTTTTTGGAGAGGCGAGTCCTCATTAATGATGGTGTGACCTGTGGTTAGTCCCAAAAATGTGAAAAAATATATACCCAACACACACACACACACACACACCTGAAAATCTGGATTATAACAGCTGGCGCAAGAATTACACAGCTGCCAGGCCACTGGATTTCTGTTAAGGCACAAAAGGTCAAGTAAGCTCTTTGACATTTGGCCAGATTGCCAGTATGACTGACGTCTGATGTTTGTGTGTGTGTGTGTGTGGGGGGGGGGGGGTCTTAGTATGTTGAACTATGGCAGGAGCGACATGCTAAGGTCTTGATAGAGCATCACTTACCATCATTCCCTAGCTTCTTACGATAAAGCGTACATCCTGTGACTGCCACATATTTATCACTAAGATGTACAGCTGCTGGAGTGAGTTCGTGAAGCCTTTTTAATTCCCAGGAACATTTGATTATTTTCTCCTTAACTTGCTCATTCATCATCGACTCAGTGACATATTGGGTGTCATGATTTCCATGTCACATCTAAGAGAGACCATTCAGAGAAGGGCTGTACTTGGCAATTATTCTAATAATCAATTAATCTGACATTTGTTTTCTTGTTTAATCGCTTTATCTATAAAATGTTAGATAGCGGTGACCACCGTCGAACCGCTTGCTTTCTGTCCAACCGGCCCGAAACCCCCAAAATAGGCAGTTGACTCAAAATGGTTAACGATTCATTTTTGAGTCTAAAGTCTGCAGCAAAGATCCGTAGACGATGGATAGAAGGGACTGGCTGTGCTACGAACATCACTGCAAGACTGCACTGTACAATGTTCAATGAGGTGACAAAGAACATTTGTGTGACAGCGTTGCGGAGGTGTGCGTCTCTTGCACATGCTAATAATATCTACTCTATGTCCAATAGTTCATATTAAGAAAGCCAGTAAATTGTAAAGGAATCCACGAACATGCGCTGTAGCTCCTCTAATGTTTGCTCCTTGGATGATCCACATGCTCTGTTCTGTTGAAACAATGTCCTGTGGAGCTGAACTCAGACAAATGTACAGTGTGGAACAGCCATCTCCTGGTGTTAAGCACATTGTTGAAACAGCACAGCTTTTTTTGCAAGACACCCAGGTATATACATTAAATTAAACATTTGAATATGAAGAAAAGTTTTAAATGCCTCTTAATTGATGTGCAGTTCTACAGAAAGCATTTGCCTGACAGATGTTGTTGCTAAAGTAGTTTTCATCACCAATGCTTAAACAATACCAGGAAAAAGACAACAAAGATTCAGGTTGTGGTTTAAATAAAGAGATCAGGCCCACATTTAAGAGCATTTAGAAAATCCAGGTAAGTCAAACAAGCGTTTACCAAATATGTTTTTTAACTATTGCAGAAAACTCTAGACATTCAGACTTGTACATCTCTTTGTCTCCATTTATGTAAGTCACAGCACGAACAAACACAGAAACGTCAACACAGACACTGAGAGTTTATACCTTATCACCGTCCTCGCAGTTCATGACATTGGAGAAGGGAATCTCAGCCTTGAACATCTTCCTGCAGTGCATAAGCTGCACTAGCAAGTAGCACACAGTTTTGAACTTCATCTTTTTGGCGGGCTTTATATCCGAAAGAATCAATCCTGGGAATATCTGTCACCAGATAAGAAACGGGGAACAAGGATTTAGTCATGATACCCCAAACAGTTATATGTAAGGGTCTATGAATCATGCACAAGGCATTGGACAGCATGCACGTGCACACATGTTCATGCACACACATGCAATCATTATTATCAGGCTCAGAGATTTCACTAGAAAGTGGTTCAGATAAGGTCAATCCCAAAGGTGGTTTTAATAGTTTTAGGACTTTGCTGCCCTCATTTCTCTTTTATAAAACTATTTTTAGAAAGATTGATCAAAATTAAGCACAAGTTAAAGCGTTTGAGGAGATGTCATTTGCAGTAAGACATATTAGTTTGGCTCGATACACAACGTCCAAGGCGTTTTTCCCTGAGCAGGAGCAAATAAAGGCACAATAGCAGAGAGTGAGTAGCAGCCTATCCAACACAGCTTAGTCAGGGCACGTCTTTCTCTGAGCCATGCCTTTGATGAAGTCGAACCATCAGCTCTATTAAGAGGATTAGCAAAGTCTCCCGCATATCGAAGAAAAATGCACGCAACTGGGGTGTTACGGGTTCATACGAGGGCCCATGTAACCTGCGTACAAAGCGGTACATCGCGTAAGATTGAGAAGCTGCTGCAAGAGAGGAGAGGAGAAGTAGAAGGAGAAAAGAGTAATATGAAACCAAGACTGAAATTCCCTCTCCAGCTGCTTCTGGCACATCTGTTGGGAGATGTGCATGTTTATGTGTCAGCACTGACACACACACACACACTAATACGTATAACTGTAAGTTTGCAAGACTGTGCAGACTCGAGATGATATATGCCACGGGCTTTATGGCCCCTGTCCAATCCAGTACAGGCTGGAAGTGAGATCAGCTCAACAACAAGTGTGTGAGAGCTCCATCCTATTTGAAGGTTTGATTGTACATATTGGCATAGAGGAGAAGACAGGTCAGGATAAGTCTGCTTTTTTGACCTAGCCTACTCGGACTTACCACATAAGTCTGTTAATACTGATTAGCATACGTGTGTCCACACTGTCTGGGTAATAAAAGGTTCAACCAAGGCCAACGTCTTATAGGAAGTGTCATCTCAAGAAACGACTGATGCTTTCATCTTGATCATTTTACTCAAAGAAGCTAAATACACATTCAGCAGCACAGAATTACAGTGCGATACCTTCCGTCGGTGAGATGGCACTATAAAGAAGGTTTCAATTTCATGTTTTTGGAGGAAGGCGTTCCTTTCGTGACCGTTTCCAGGCTCCACCTCATAATCTCCGTTTAGGCACTCCAGCGTAGATTTAGTGATGTGGACTTTCCTGTGGAACACATGCGGAGACGGGACAGGGTAATACACAAGCAGCCTCATAGGCACCAACAGTTCCCAAGCAGGTCATCTGCAGAAGAGTGTTACAGGAGACTGTCAAAACGAGGCCTGACATCTTTGGAGTCTTTTGAAAATGCTGCAAAAAGGTTGTTTTTTTTATGGCTAAATCTTAAAATAATTATCAGTATTTTAAAAACACTAGCATTAAGACTTTTGGTTAAAAAAATAAATACAATTTTATATATATATATATATATATATATATATATATAGGACAATAATGTAAATATTCACACCTCGCTTTACAATTTACGATTTCATGTGTCAATTCTAGATCACATAATTAGTATGCATGTGCGGTGTCCATTGCTGTTGAGGCTGGTCTTCATGCTAAATGTCCAGTACTGACCCCGGTAGCCCTCCAGCCTCCATTACATTGGCTAGGGTCACATCATTGGACCACACATCATATTGCCATTTCCTGAGGCCCAGCACTCCACACAGCACCCGACCCGTGTGCAAGCCCACACGCATGTTTAGGTTGACCTCTGTGGCCTCTGCTACTGACCTGCGGGGACAGAACACATGCAGTGTTGGGGTGAGGTTGTGTTTGCATTTATATCTATACATTTATAAATAGGCAGAGCATTAAAAGGGCAGTGCAGAAGATGTACAAAAATAACACAAAGTGACATTAACAATTCCAGGGGTGGAAGTAACGAATTACCTTTACTATTGTGACTGTAACAAAGTCATTTTTTGTTAACTTGGAGTTTTGTTTGGTACAAGTACACACAAAAAACGGTAATTTTACCATTACTACTATTTATAACAATTATTAGGTACATTTCAAATTGCAGCCATTACAATGTAGCAACAAAAATCAGGTGAAAAAGTCTTGATAAACTGCATGAGAACGGAACAGAAGTAAAGGAGATGAATCAGCAGCTGCAGCAGTGTCTGCGGCCGCAGGAGAGAGGTGACACTCCAGTAATGATACTGTTATAATTAATTGCGTTTACGGGCCGCCGTGGCCACTTCAGGTTGTGAATATAGTTGTCATGTTGCATAGTTAGGAGGTTAAAAAATTGTAACATATATCTTAATTAACGAGTGAGTTAAAGCATCATCCTGTGAGCAGTGACACACCGACGGCGTTCGTGACCCTGAAGAGTAGGGGCACCCTAAGTCTGGTTATCATGCTATGCTAAATGCTAACATCCTCCAGCTGTGACTTCTGCGTTCCCCGAGGAACCTTTAGCTTCAGTGAGGACTTTCTGCTGTTTGTGACAGTGTGACTGCAGAGCCTCTTTCACTTGAAGACTTTTTGAATTTGAAGAGCGCAGTGGAACCAAAGAGAGTGAGAGGACTGGTTATATGGGACGGAGAGGCCAAATGGACAGTTTATATCATGCTTTGACAATGAACGAGCGGGAAAAGTTGAACCTGGACTGTGGAGGACTTCACTGTGCTGTTCAGACAGGTGAGTACAACAACAATTATTACAGTCTATGCAAGCGACACATTAAATGGACAATACATGTCCCTGTACACGAAACTAATAGATTACACTGGTGTGGTTGTATGTATATGTATATATATATATATATATATATATATATACATGTATATGTCTGTGTCTTAGTTTTGACATACGAAGTCTTGTAGCTGATGTTCTTCCACTTGCGTAGGCAATGAATTGACACTTATTGCAGTCTGTTTTGTAGCCTACTCTTTGATTTAACATTAGTATCTAAGACCCCTCCCCCCTTTTAAAACGTAACACAATAACATTAACTTACCTACTTTTTACAAAAGTACATTTTTAAGTACTTTTACTTGGATAAATTTCCTTAAAGTAAGAGTAATTTTTCTTGAGTACAATACTCTCGTACTCTTTTCACCTTTGAACAATATATTATTGTACACAAGCACTGTACAGTTATTGAATAAGACTTATATACTAATAACATGTCCGTCAAACTAAACTTCATCGACACAAACTCGACAAATAATGTCTTTCACATGCCGAAACATTTCGACATAATATTGAATGGTCCACGAGCAGTCGTCGATCGATATGTTTTACAGGTGATCCATCGTGGGTAGGACCGCTACTGTCGTCATTGCATGTTTGTTTATGCACAAACCTTAAAGGAAATCAATCAGCAGTGTTAATTTAAACAACATTGTCGATTTAATTTTTGCTATTAAATCAAACATTATGTATAATGATCGAGGTCAGACACAGGCGAATAATACAAAACTCTTCATAAATAGATGTGGCAATCTGTCGGGAAACAGACAGGGAACAAACACTGCTCAAAATGCTCTACTTTGCTCTAACATGCAGAAATAGACTAAAGAACAAAAAAGGCTGCTAGGTCGAGCATTTCTGTTTAATCAGTGTTGAGGAAAAACAAGTTGAATCTTAATTAACAGGCTTCCAGTCAAGTCATGACAGTTTCTGATTTAATCTTCCGCTGCATCTCAATCTCTCACTTTCCTTTGGCCCTATACGCAGGGTATGCGAGGACAACAAGCTCAACACAATAGCTGATTTTCTCCCTCTCTCAGTCAACTGTAGCTGTGCTCACTCAGATGTTCAGTGTTAGAATTCCCTCACAGCACACATGGCCAATCAGGCTGCAGTTTACTCTACTCGGAGGAAGTCTCTCGACATGGACTCAGTTAAACAGTGTGTTTAGAAGAGAATATCGATTAAAGGGAAGATTTCTTTGGCTTCAGCCGCGCCTGTTTAGAAAGCGAAAGGACAGATAATGATTTCATTCCTGGACACTAAGTGGAATGATACTTTAAATTTCACTATACTGCTAGATAAAAGACAAAAAATGTGAACACTCACGTTATGGTGTCAATCATGTCCAGACCCATCTCTACACAGCAGTGGGCGTGGTCGGCCTTGGGTTGGGTCAGTCCGGACACACAGTAGTAACAATCTCCCAGGATCTTAATCCTCCGACAGTGGTTCTCCTGACGATTACAAAAAGACATTGTGATTCCATGTCTTCCGCCCAAATAAGGATTAGCCAATCAGTAACAACAACATCTTTACCTCTACATTGGATCCTCAACAAGCATCTTCGTGGTGAGCTCAGTAAGTGGTTAAAAACATTCAAAGCACCAAAGGGCATCGCTCTTTCAGTTTAATCAAAGTTGCAACATTGGTGTCCGAGAGCAGCGGTGTTTCAGTTTAAATATTCTGACATTTAATTATAGTTTATCCATTTAACTGATCCATTTAGCTTCAAGCTATCCATTGCTGCAAGTTCCAAGGTCGATTGAATTGATGGAGTTATTCATTACCTCATCATACACTGGGGGGTTATGTGTTGTACTATTTCTTGGCCGGGATCAGACCACAAATTAGTCAATTTCTAATTACACTCCACGGTCACCCCGCCTCACTACTCACGGCCGGGAGACTATACTACGCCGGGAGGAGCGCAGGTGGCAGTTTCGGAGACAGACCCCATGCGGCCGTCTGCTCTCTTCCAGGCTCTATAGTCTCGCTGTTCCACTCCCTTTCACGAACCAGTGTAACGTTAGCAGAAAACAACTTAATGCGTCATCGAGGGTGTTTTGTTTCATGACGTAGATTAGTCCCAACGGTCGACTCCATCTCAGTATTGGCCTTGCTAGATTAGGGCTGATTTGAAACAGTTTGGTAAGAAATGTCAGTATTAACACCAGCACTGTGTTTCATCACAGTACATCGGTACCATTTAGTTTATAGCTTAAAAAACATGAGAAAGTCAGCAAATCAGTCTGGCTAGGAAGTGGGGCTTAATGGATGAACTGTTGACAGAAATAGCCTGACACTCTTGGATTGATTGTGTTTTATGCCACCAAAGGATGTTTGACAGCATAAACATATGACACTGACCAATCACAGAGACCGTTGAAGGAAACAGAGATACAGTACCCAACCCAAAGACGTCATGTGAGGGAGAAATGAATAAATACAGGCACACAATCAGAAAGACAGAGGCACTCAATAAAAGAAAAGAAAAAGTCAGATGAGAGAGTTATTCAACAACAGTTAGACAGCATACAGAACATGACGATGCCGTGGATCTCCACGTGAACTGATATTTGTACAGCATGCAAACTCTCGAGACCTTGAAGTCCCACCAACACGGAAGTGGTTCCCACAATGCAGCGCTAAATCAAAGGATCGGTCTCACTTTAGGGAATAAGGTGAGTCACTCTCTCACTCTTTAGGGACAATAAGCAGTGGCATGAAAAGGCGGCTTACCAACACAACCCATTATTAGAGGATATATGAGCAACAGACAGAGATTTTACCAGGGAGACCGGGTTACAGAGGACGCCTTCTCATAACCCTTTATTGTTTCCATGGAGGTAATGGGATCACTGGCCATGCATGTGAAGAGCACAAAGCCTCATAATTATGCACATCGGTGGGCACAAGACAAGATGGATGCTCTATTTTTAACATGCGAGCCATGTGAGTTTTCAGAAAAGAGAGACAGCAAGGGCTTGTTAGAGGCAACTATTTGCCTCGTGCAGCTCTACATGCTGTGGTCATGCCTGTCTGAGTGCTCAGTGGCATGGAGGCACATGTGCTGTTCGTGTTCAAAGCCCTCAGTAGCAGTGAAATGAGGCAACACAGAGAAGCGCGTTGACTTGTTGAGCAGCTCTCTGTGAAAAACCTTTTCGGTTGAAATATTGTCCCGAATATTGAATCGCAAATTGAAGTAATTATTGATCTCAAATGAGGTTTCAAAACTCAGTTGTATGCTTCCGCCAATCAGTCCCGTTGCAGGTGTCTGTCCCAAGGTCTGTCTATCACAGTGACCTCCGCTTTTGACCTTTGACCACCAAATTCTAGAGGGCAATTTGACATTTGTGCCACATTCTCAGAAAGGCCTCCAGGCGTTAGTGAGGATTTGCATTCACAAGAAGAGATGGAATGGAGAGGCAGACCGACCACCAAAAACATATTTGCCACGGCTGTGTTTCCTGTGGAGCAACAAAGTGTTATCTTATTTTATCATTTCGTAAAACGCAAACGGTTCAAACCTTTGGTAAAAGGAATGTGCTCAGTGCTAAAAACGGACAGCTAAATCTGGATCTGGTTCTTTCTCATTTCCTTTTGACAATAAAACCTTTTTTAACCATAACGGCGCCAAAGGGGTCTCTTCGGGGTGACTCAGGCCACGGTGGAGCAGTAACAGTAACAGATGGCGCTATAGTGAGGCATAGTTGAAGCTACAGGAAGCAGGGGAAAGCCCTGGTACTTACAGAGGCTCCTACTCTGTACTTTTCCTGTGCTAATCTGCACTGTGAGGGCTTAGGGGCTGATTCAGTCCCAAGAAGGATTACCACCGTCATGTGACTGAGGCATTGTGGGCAATCCGGACGGTCAAGACGGCCACTGTGTGTATTAGGGACAGGTCGACTGAGACACCTACTCACATTTTCCATTAGAAAGGGAAGCCAAAATACATTTTTAAGATGACCGCTTTGGATAATTTATGTTTTCACTGAGGTCGGAATATATTGCGAGCACGACCAGCAGCATCAAAAGTGCAGTGTTGTTCTTTTACCAGGCACCTTACATACAGCGCACGCATATGCTTTCAGAGATGGAAATTAGAAAGCACTTCAGTGCGCACGGAAAAAAGAGAGGGAGACAAAAAATAACACAGAGACAAAAAGGGACGCGGAGACAAAAAGGGACGCGGAAGGTGTGTTTGCAGCTGACTGAATCTGCCCTGTGCCAATTGGTGCTGGCACACGGTTGAAATAATTTTCTTAATTACTACAAGCAATCACACTATTTTATTTGTTCTATACGAGGCCAATACATAGTCAACAAACATTTTCCAATCTACCTTGGCTTGAATTATTTAATGTAATTTCATCAATAAAGGCAGACAGTGGATCCATTGCAAAATCTTTAGCTTGCATACAGAAGTTCTCTCAACATTTCCTCGCCTCCGCTGACTTCTTTCCGTCTCTGCCTGCACGCAAGCACTGGCTGCATATTTCTCACCCAGCTCCCTTTTTTATTGATTTGAATTGATAAGCAATCATTTATGTGCAACAACAAATGAATAATATATCAACACTTCTTCCACCCACCACCAAGATCCGTTTAGCAAACATATTAATATAGATTTACTTCACAGATATGACGGATACAACAAACAACAAATGTTTGGCGCTGTTTCTGATTGGAAATGGTAACGAGGAGCTCTGTTTTCTTAGATGATGAAAGATTCAAAAAATATATTTGGGTTTTAACATGCATTATGAGATTATTAAGCCTATGTCAAAGTAAACGGTAAAAGAAATTTGTGAAGCTTAATCTAATTCCATAAATAATGTCTCTGCAGGTTTTATGGTTTTTGTCGGTCTTTTCAGTTTGAGATGAGCAAACTGTGATTTGAATCTGTCAGCTTTTCTCTGTCACAATATGAAAAACTGTCACAATATTAAAAACAGGTTTTTTGAGGTTAAAAACACCTCAAGAACACTTGCTGTGAGTACTGTAATTATAGTAGTTGCCTTTCCAGGAAATCAGCATTTAGCTGAGCTATGCTTAGGAACTGTAATAAAAATAACAAGCTATTGATGATTGAAATAATGTTTTTCGCCTAAATTGAAAATATGCATCTTATTAATTTAGTTTGTAAATATAAATTTCAAAGGCTACTTGACTGATTTTACACATACAGGCTATAACAGTTGTATAATACATGCTATGTCAAGTCTAAAAAATAACCCTGATGACGTGGTGATGTGTGAAAATACACATTTTAAAACTGTGGTTGTGTTGTTTAAAATACTGGGGATGGAACTAGTTAGAGAGCGAACAAATAAATGCTAGAGATGCATTCTGGGAAGTGTAGGATCCAGTGCTTTTGAAGCTTGACCCGTATTAGTGACTAAAAGTCCGGATGTCTTGGCCTCTGCTGCTTCAATGTTGACAGCCAATCATCCTAATCATTTTGAAGCATTTTTTTCACCCGTACTCCTCAGTCAAGATCTCAAGCTGGCTTGTTTGGCTTGGGTTTTGCTTCAGTCCACAGTTGTTAGGACACAGGCGTCTGAAGGGAAACTGTAGGACTTGAGAGTGATCCTTGCACCTGCTCGTGAGACAAACCCAAACAGGGTTATTGGAGCTGTGTTTACACCCGGACTTTAGTTTCTGGCAGGCAGCTGTCACAGTGTGGGCACTGAACAGTCCTTGTGCCTAATCTAAGAATACATTTTTTTATTAGCATCCTGAGCAGTTGTATTTTGTTCAATTTTTCTTGGCGTAGGACTTTGTGTTATACAAACCTGCAGATGTACAAATGATCACATCTACAAAGCAGTTGGAACCGTTTTTTGAAGTTAACTTTTTGCAGAATTGCGCTTTCCTTGGGAATATAATTGTTTTTTGTTCACTTTCTTCCGCTGCATTGGGAATCTTTAGTGTCTCACAAAAGGATTACAGTTAAAATTGCATCATCTCTCAGGTTACTAATGCCTATCTAGACTAGAGCATTTGTTGTTATATGGTATAGTATAATGTATGAACAGGGAATTACATTTCTGACAACTGATTATCTGATATGCTCAGGTGAATTCTCTTCAAAATACTGGGGGAAAAAAAGTAAAAATACCCGGGATGCAAATATAGCAATGAATCCCGTCAACTCCAGCATGCATCCGTGCACTGCACACGCGGCGCAGGCTATTCTCTAAGCCTTCACAGTCATACGTGTGTGTGAATGGAAAGGGAACTCTGACTGGTCGAGGGAAGCAAGAGGCAGCGGATAGATACATCATTGAGCCATCCTAAAAATGGAAACACAAGAGTGGAAGAGAGTGCAGAGAACCACGGGGCACAAAAGACACAGTTGAGAGAAGTAGGCTGCTGCGTGTCAATCAAAAAGCTGAGAAACAAGGAGCGGAGGAGTCTTAAAGCTGTGATGCAGGGAGGTGTTGGGAGAGGAGAGAAAAGAGACACAAGAATGAAAAGCATTGTGAAAGTCTGCCATGGAAACGGCGACGACACGCACGCACACGCACAGACATACACAGACACACACACACACACATGCATACAGACACAAAAGCAGAACCAGTCCAGAGCTATTAATGTTCTATAGCATCACAACAACAATAAATGAATCACAGAGTCCCTCTCACAACAGAAGCTGTTGTTTCGAGTGCCGGACAGACGGTTGCGAACTCAGCCAGGGAGAGGAAGTGTTTATGGAGTGACCGGTTGGTGTGCTAATTTATATTCTTGTTGTCCCTCTTCCAAATAAATCTCCTTCTTCTATTACTTTCCTTACAAAACAAACATTGACATCAATTATGAATGCTATCTAAATTGTGTTACCTGTATTTAAAAAATACCAACTCCTTATAATCAATTTCAGACCACTTCTATGGTAAACTCCTGTCTCTTCAACCCTGTATGATTGTGTCTGCTCTGTGTGTTGTATTTTCTCGGATTCACCAAAGACCAAGTTTGAGTAGAGATACGGTTTCAAAGCTTTCCTGCAATGTCAGCGCCCCTCGTCTTCATTCTCAGCGGTATATTCGGCTGATTCTCAGCCCGGTGGTGGTGAGGAGTTATAATTACTCCCAGCTTGCATTCTCGTGGGTGGTGGGAATGAAACCGCAAATACTGTTCAGTGTGAGTGGGTTTCCGGTAAATTTCAATCTTCAAGCTACCCTCTACTTCATATGTCACAGTCCAAGAGGGATTGCTTGCTATGCCTCCTAACCATAGACTGTATTTAAGAAATGGACGTATTCACCAGGACATCTCCCATTGGTTTGGGGACTGCTGTTTTGAAGCGAGAGGGTGGAGCTAAGTACAGCCGAATGCTGAAAAATGCATTTTTAGGTGACCAAAAAGATTACAGTTAACTTTCATGAACTGAAAACAAACTCTAAAAGGCTTAAAGTTGTCCATGTTTTCATGTTACAACATGAAATCATGGACAACTCCCAGACCGGACAATACCGTGGTAGTGGCGTGTCAATAACAAGGTAGCCATGCCCTAAAACATACTCTGCTTTATGGTCTATTTTACTTTAAATGAACCATAATTTACTAAATGAACATCATGCTGTATTGAAGAACACTTAAAACTAGCGATTGAGAGCATAAGCTCATGTTTACAATGTTTACTGAGGTAATAAATCAAGTGAGAACTAGAGTCATTTTTTCATAGACTTCTATACAAACAGACTTCTATTTCCAACCAGAGGAGTCGCCCCCTACTGGCCATTAGAGAAAATGTAAATTTAAGGCACTTCTGCGTTGGCTAATTTTGATGATGCTGTTCACTGAGTTGCTTAGCTCACGGAAGGCTCAAACTTCAGAGAGTGTTGAAACCATTAGCTACTTACAGTAAAACATTTCAAAGCGCTCTTTTCCACTTCCTCCATATCGATACATGCAACAATGGGAGCCAGCTGTACATTACTAGCTCATTTTTATTGATCAGAAACACGCTTGTGGTAGGTTGTGATGAGGAAAAGTTTGATGAGGGCACACACTTGATAAATACTGACGCAACCAAATTTGAAATCCAAAACCTGACGACTGATCCGAGGCTTTATTCCATCCATTGCTGAATGTCAGCTTGCAAGGTTAATGCAACATGTCGGAGGGTACACTGTCTTTCCCTCTGGCCATTGCATGTTTGCATGTAACACAAGCAGCAACCTCCGGTGCTAAGAGATTAAGCCAATGCGGAAGTGTCAAAAACAGTTCCTCAAAACGGCCTAAGACCCCCATGTTAAAATGTCAACTTAACAGCAGAAATAACCTGGTTTACTGCCTGGAACAGAGAATGGTTTTGGCCCCTATGGCTAGTTTATGACAACTGTACATTTTATATAACTCCCCCTTTGAATTATATTAAGGCTGAAAAGCATAACTGAGGGCCTGGCAGCTTTGAGTGACAGGTGGATGCCGTCCCAGGTTGCTCGTCGCTATCTGTCTACTTTGCCGCGTCACCCTACCCTACGTAAGATCCGCCTCTTTGCCCATTTTCTGGATTAGCCGGGACTTAGTCTGTGTCGTCGCTGCCAAGATGGCGACGAAAGGAGATAACGCGTGAGTCTTTTGTTAACACCTTTTTTAAGCTGCATACAACTAAGAATATAAGGGAAGGAGAAATACTGTAATAGTTTCCTTGAGTTTGAAATGACTAAATGATCGCGTGTGTCTTTGACACAGGGTGGGTAAACAATAAGAATAAGTTCCTTTTGTGAGCATTAGTAATGATTGACATGGAGATAAGGTTGAAAACTGGCGAACTGTTGCTAATTGCAAAAAAGTCTAATTTGATCTAATGTCTAAGATTAAGTGTAAGAGTGATAATGTGTCAAGTTCAGAAGCTGCTACCTGAGGTTAAAAGGCTTATCTTCATTTGTGTTCATATGACGTTGGCTGGATGAGGAGAGGAGAAGAGACTTGGTCTACTACAACAACACTCTAGGAGTACACTGCGTTCCTGGCTCACTTCCCATGCAGCTTGACAAGTCCAAAGAGTGGACAGGTGGTGTGGGGATGGTGCTGAAATGGTATTATGAGATGATGCCTGGTGGCCATGTGGCATCGCCCGCTCTGAGTACGGAACAAAAAGAGTCTGCGTGGCCACAGTGACCACAGCCATGAGTCACCGGCAGTGCCACTTCCTGCCAAAGTGGATCAGAATGAGTGGGGCTTTGGGTCAGGGCAAGGCTAGAACATTTAATGACAAGTTTCATGGCTGGGGACAACGTTTTGAGTGCAACACAAGGCTCCCAGCTAGCAGCCGAGCTGAGATCAGACCGATCTATTCTGTCGTAACCCAAACAATGAGACGGATCCAATCACAACAGCAAGGAAACATACGTAGCTCAAGATTGCATTCCTTCGAGCCAAGCTACTTCGGGAGATGGAAGTGAAACTGTATCATTTGAGGCCAAATGAATTGCAGCATCTTGGAAAATGAAAGTGCATCGACTTGTTGACATCACTTGACTTATAAATGAGAGCGTCTCTGGCTTGTGTGTGTGTATTTATTGCATGCACGGAATCCCAGAACGCAACTTTCCGCAGGATAAAGACAGACTGCAGCTGTCATGCAAAACAACAAGAGCCGAGTAAAGCAACCGATCCAAGACTAATTGGAAAGGCAATGACAATCATTTGACAATAACGAGTCAAATTGAGAGACACTCTCTTGTTTTAGTCGGTTCTAATTCTGTGCGCGTAAACAAACAAGTTAAAAATAGAAGCTCCCAACACGGCCAAGCAAAACCTTCTATGAAAGCAAAAAAAGGGTTAGTTGTAATCCTGTGGATTAATGGATTTGACAAGGGCATGTGCCGAGTGTAAGTAATAGAGGCCAGATTACATGTAGATAAGGCTGTGGAAGCGTGATCTGCGGGGGCTCAGGGGCTCAACCTTCTCGCCAAACTAAATATATATGTCAAACTAATTCACAGTGTCGAAGAAGGAGCGATATCCTACCCGTCCTGGTGACGTGCTTTGATTCTGATCGGCACAATTTAAAGGAAAAGCACATCGAGGTACCGGTGGTATTTTGCCCGAAAGGTTTTTTTTTTTGTAACGCCAACACTGATGGCGTTACATTGGAAAGCAACGAGATTAACCACAGCGGTCAAACTCACAGCAAAAATTCAGCGGATTTTTAGCACGGAAATCACAAAGAGCGACATATTGACAGATGGGAGAGCTGAAATCTTTTTTTTTCCTACATGCAAACCCAAGAGAGATTGCGTCAAGGACAATTCAGTGGTCCCTTCATTCAGTTCGTTCACACAGCGAGTGATGAGCGGAGGCGAGGTTGAGCCCCGGGTAAATTTGGCCTAGATTAGAGATGTCTGTCAACTCTTCCTCAAATGAAGCACCGGGTAATCATATTAAGCATCATATGGGCTTCCAGTATTCACAGTGACAGTGTAAGCTGGTACAATAGTGGCATGAGCCAGCGGCCTGTGGCCAAAGCAGTACACACACACACACACACACACACACGTACTTCCTTCCCTTGTCAAAGTTTGGACAGAGCACCAGCAAAAGAGCAGCTTCCCATGCCAACTGTGGCTGTAATTGAGGGATGTGTGTTCAAGGAAGGGAAACAAACTCACCGTTGCAAGCTCATCAAACTTTCCAAACAGCTCATTTAGCAGCTTAACCAGTTCCTGGGCTGTGCACTGGGAGGCCAGACTGGTGAAGCCGACTATATCTGCAAACAGGATGCTGTGACGGAGAGAGAAAGAGAAGCTTTTCAGTCAAAGCAGGTTATTTATAGCAGCATGTATGAAGGAGAGAAAAAGAGAAAAGATTATTGGGTGCCTGATCAGATTAGCTCTCAGGTTTTTCTTTTTGCAAGCGACATCTAGGAAGCCTGAGCTTCAAGTCAATTTGAACATTCCCTTTTGATAATGTTTTTACAGGAAGCTAATCAAACATTCAAATTAATGACCTGCGGCAGCAAAAAGAAAAGAAAGAAGATAAATAAGAGCGAGCAAGAGGGAGCGTGCTCCGTTCTCTAACTGGCAGCGCAGCCAAGCAGAGCGACTCAGAATAGAAGCAAGGGCATTCTCATGGGGATCAAGGTGGAGACATGTCCTGTTAGGAGCTGGCGAACAGCCATTCTGGGATATATTGCAACCATCAAGGCGCTGTCACCTCACCAGGTGAACTCGTATTCCCTTTTCACAGTTGCTACATTGAACTGAGAGTGCTTGAGGTTTAAAATTGAACTGAAATTTAAAAAAAAAAATTGAAAAGTATGTGAAATCAGCACATTTGTGTTGACTTGTGTATTGATTTGGTCAGGATCGCAATAACCAAAAAGAAGAAACGGTGCGATTCATTTACATCTCTGCTGTGATAGCACCTCCTACATTAATGCTGGCATGAATCTTTGGTTGCGACTGTCGGTGCTGTAATGCAATTGGTCCAGTATCTGTGTGGGTGGGCACTAAAATAGTCATCGATATCACTGCAGTTCCAACAGCCACACAAGCAGTTCACCGGCTGGGGGGCTAATGTTGTTCGCCGCCTCTTTTAGCTGTTAGTCCCATCTGTGACTTGAGGGCTCCGTATGTTGCTCATGTTAGTTACTCAGCGTCCTAATTGGGATCACGGTGTAGCTTACTGAGCGCTGAGGTTATCTGTTGCTGTGAGTTTTCACAGTCTGATTATTTTGCCGTCGCCACAACTGGACGATGAAAGAAACAATGAAAGAGCAATGACAGCTAACGCTATAGCTAGAGTGTGTGAGAGCTGCTGATGGAGGCAAGGCAAGTTTATTTGTATAGCACATTTCAACAACAAGGTAATTCAAAGTGCATCACATAAAACCATTAAAAGCATCAAAACATAAGGCAAAAGAAAAGGAGATTTAAAAACAATTAAGAACATTGATTGAAACAATAAAAACAGTCATTAAAACACTAAAAAGCAGTGTAAGAAATAAAATACAGTAGTAAAATGCAGAAATGCAGGAAATTGATTCCTATCTTTGAATCTGGTTGAATTAAAGGCAGCAGCAAACAGAAAAGTCTTCAATCTTGATTTAAAGGAGCTGAGGGTCTCAGCAGACCTGCAGCTTTCTGGGACTTTGTTCCAGATATGTGGAGCAGAACAACTGAACGCTGCTTCTCCAGGTTTAGTTCTGACTCTGGGAACAGAAAGTAGACCGGTCCCAGACGACCTAAGGGGTCGGGATGGTTCATAAGGTAGCAGCAGATCAGAGATGTATTTTGGCCCTAAATCATTCAGTGCTTTATAAACCAACAGCAGGATTTTAAAGTCAATTCTTTGTTGGACAGGAAGCCAGTGCAAAGACCTCAGAACTGGAGTGATGTGATCCACCCTCCTGGTCTTAGTGAGGACTCAAGCTGCAGCGTTCTGAATGACCTTTTACAGAGACCTGTAAACACACCATTACAGTAGTCCAGCCTACTGAAGATAAATGCATGGACAAGTTTTTCCAAATCCTGTTGAGACAGAAGTCCTCTAATCCTTGATATATTCTTCAGGTGATAGGAGGCTGATTTTGTAATTGTCTTGATATGGCTGTTCAGGTTGAGGTCTGAATCCATAACTACACCTAGATTTCTGGCTTGGTTTGTGGGTTTTAACATCAGTGATTGAAGAGTGATGGAGGAACATGAACCAAACCTAACATCTGGTGGGAATCAGTGCTTATGCGACAGTCTGTGTGGAAGTCGACGTAGTCA